AACAGGATCCCTTTGTTAAATTATTAAAAATTCAAACTCGCAAGATAAAGCAGTTCTGACCTAATGCACACCCACAAAACGTCCCTTCTCCTTTGGTGCCATGGCTCGGAATTCAAAGTCCAGTAACCATGGACTTGGCATGTCCTTTCTCCACCTTTGGTATGAATATATTTTGCCACCGAATATTTCCACAAAGGAAAAGTAAGGCTTATCATTGTGCTAAGAAACCAACTCAAGAGCCAGGCAAATTTTCTCCATCTTGAAATCTACTTTCCCCTGAAAGATCTCCGTTCCATGGCAAAAACCTTTAGAGTCTGAAGAGTCAATTTGGTAAAGATGACCTTGGCAAAATAAACCCCGATGTATGTATGAGTGCCAAAACTGTAGTTTCCAAACTCTTGAGTGAATAATAAATCTTAAAAAAGAGTTCTAAGTGTCATAAGCTTTCGGATTTATGAATGAGAAAAGACATGATGTGACTGCTTGATTCTAGCTCAAGGACGAAAGTTACGGTTTAGTAATATGTACTTCGCTGCTTCCATTCCCGTTGGTGGTGGTGGTGATGATGTACTGTGTGGTCTGTGGTTGGCTGGTGGTCTGGGAGTCCAAGGAGTCACTATGTGCAGATGGCTGAACCTGCACTCCACCGGAGAGGGCAGACGTTTGCTTTTCCTCCAATTCTGGCTGACTTTCTGATAATACATAATGACCCTATAGTGGGAAGAAAAGGGTCTTTAAAAACATGGGGTCTAAAAGGGAATGTGGAGCTACTGGGGGAGAAGAGAAGGGGACATGCCAAGAAATTTCATAAGGGACCTCAAGATAGGAACCTACGACAGATGCTTCAACTGGGGCCTTTAGAGAGGATGGATCACGGATCAGTCGCGCCCACTGACTGCGAGGGTCAGCACCACAAGGGAGCACCTTAGCTGCTTTACCAAATGATATAGTGAAGAACTTCAGATACAGAAAAGTGCATCATGGTGGTAACATATGTGGCAAAGACACATGTGCCATTATACTGCTCCTAAGAATTTAGAAATTTGGAAAAGACTGCTATCTGTCAATTACATCTTAAGAATAATACAGAATGGATCAAAGAAGAGATATTTAAAGTCTCCCTAAAGGGGCAGAATGGCCCTTAAGAAAGGTAGTCGAGATCAGTGGCTTCCAGACTTCAGAATTTCAAAGATGAGCAAAATTAAAAACAAAAAATAGCCCCCGAATTATATTTTGCCAAGTAAGATCATTTAAAATATGCTACCATCAAATAGGCATTTTAACACTCAAGAGCATAAGAACAACACAATCTTAGAATAAAACCCCTTACATTGAGTAAATTTAGCTTTATGAAAACTTACACATTGTCTTTATTTTTTCTCATTTTTCCTTTGATCATGAAAACTTCTTCACAGACTTGTGGCTGGCAATTTTGTTAACGTTTTTAAAGAAAGAACGTGTCAGTCAGAAGGGGGACTGGTCAGTGAAGAAGCAGAGGAAAACAGAACTCAGCAGGGGCACTCAGGCAGTAGCCTTTCCAAGCCCTGCCCAGAGAAAAAGCCAGAGCCAAACACCCATTTGATTCACCCAGGGCCACATGTTCTGAGTCCATGCCCGCCAAGCAACTTTCTGATTTCCCATGTGGGACTTCCATTAGTGGGGGGGGGGGACTGTTCTCAACCTAGGGTCCAAGAACCCCCAAAAGTGTACATTAAATTTGTGCATATGTACATCATGGCTGGGTCAGGGAAATCTCCTTGACTATAATCAGCTTCTTGAATGAGCTCGTGGCCAGAGAAAGGTAAAAGTCAATGAATGGACCCTACAGGAAGCAAAAACTTCCCTGGTCATGCCAATGTGATGACTCCATTTTACGTCACTTATTCTTTTCACTGACAATTGGTACCCTTACTCTGGATCTGTACATCTCTCCTAAGTCTAGTTAATGTGATCTTGCGTGCTAAGAAATGGGTGAACTCTCAGTATGCTTTTTTAAAAAATCAGGTTTTGTGAGTTTTTTGTTTTTTGTTTTCAGACAGAGTCTCGCTCTATTGCCTGAGCTAGAGTGCCGTGGCATCAGCCTGGCTCACAGCAACCTCGAACTCCTGGGCTCAAGCGATCCTCCTGTCTGAGCCTCCCAAGTAGCTAGGACTACAGGCCCACACCACGATGCCCGGCTAAATTTTCTAGTTTTAGTTGCCCAGCTAAGTGTTTTCTATTTTTAGTAGAGACGGGGTCTTGCTCTTCCTGAGGCTGGTCTCAAATTCCTGCCTCAAGCGATCCCTCCCGCCTCAGCCTCCCAGAATGCTAGGATTACAGGCATGAGCCACCGCGCCTGGCCAAAAATCAGGTTTTTGAAGCCACCAGATTACCTTGGTACCCTCTGAGGCCTCTAATCTAATTAACATAGCCATCACCCCACAAACTTACCATTTTTTTGTAGTGAGAACACTTAGGATCGACTCTCTTAACAATTTCAAGTATACAATAGATTTTTATTAACTATAGTCACCATGCTGTACATTAGACCTCCAAAACTTACTGATACTAGAGTATTTTTCTAAATTCAAATTTAGGTACTCTGTCTTCTAATACTTAGAGATAGGCCAGAACAAACCAGTGTGTAGAGGATGTTACAGAGGGCATAAAGGCCTGGGTGAAGGGACTGTGAGAAAGGCGGACATCTGGCAGTCCTGCAAACAGGACTTGGGATATGATCGTTACCAGCCGGCTGCACGCAGCAGGCTTTGGAATGTACGGAGGCGTGGCTGATGCTGGGTCCCTGCCCTTTTCTTTATGGCCTTAAGGAACAAGGAAATAACAAGATAATTATAAGTTTAATGTATATCACTGAATAGACTTGTGTAGAACAATATGCTTACTATATGACACCAAAGATTTTATCTATATGTTCTCTACTGTACACACATGCCTTTCCCTACAATAAATACGGAGATTTGGAAAGGTTCGAGAGCTCTTTGAAATGAAGAGTCTCTCCTCCTCCTTCAGCCTGAGATTGTGGTCTGGAGCATTCTTCGTTGTGCAGTGACCCTGGTAGAGATGCCGGACGATCTCTACACAGTGAAGACAAAAACAGAGGCGGTAGATACAAGCAACATTGTATCTGCCCAACTTAAATATAACGAGAGAACTTATGGCAATGTTTTTCACCCTGGGGTGGGCAAGTTGTTTAAAATAGCTCTGTGATTGATTCATTATATTATTCTCTCCCAATCCAGTTGAGGACCAATAGCCTTGAAGATCTGTAATCTTTCCAAGAAGCATATAAAAAGGTGCTTACAGGGATGGATCTAGAATCATTAGTTATTAATTAAATAGACATTTATTGAGCATGTGGCATATCCCAGCCTCCTGGGCAGGGCATTGAAGATAAAGTGATAAAGATCAAGGCTCAGCTTTCAAGGAATTCATCATCTATTGTGAGAAAACAGAGTAAACCCATCATTAAAAAATAAATAGCAATAAGGGTTATAATATCGCATCACAGGATGGATAGGAAAAACCCGACGGAGCAACACAGCTTACCGGAGTCACCGCCTTCACTTGGCCAGCCGTAACTGGAGTTGCCACACCACTATCTGTGATCACAAACTGACCTGGGGGAAGTGTCATCATTTGAATCTCAGATGCTGAAAAACAGGAAATATCCACACTTCAATGGTCTCAGATTTAAATACAAGTTCTAAAAACAAATACCTAACACCAGGGGACACATTCCCCACTGAGGCACGTTCCATGGAGTTGCCGGCTGTGAGAGTCCTACAATGATGTGATTTCTCGATAGCAAAAGTATCTCTGATGAGAACTGATCATATGAGAAGAAGCTGGTACACAGCCACCAAGTATCAGAGACAATCAATGCAACCTCCCTCAAATGTGGCTTCTGAATATTCATAAAGATAAATATGCAAAGATTTTTTTAAAACTTTGAAATAAATTACAAAGATTTATCTTTTAGCTCAATATTTTTATCTTTCGTATTATTCAAAATGTACCCACAGTTGGCTAGCAATCACGATTTAATCCAACTTGAATTTTATTTAACCACAACTGTTATTAAACAAAATTAAAAACAAAGTTCACCCTAGTGTCCTATTAATAATCTCTAAATAATATTTCCTACTAAAAGGAATGGAAGTTCCTTGGAAAAATGGCTGATTCCAGACGTGGGCAGAAAAGGTGTAAGACAAGCACGGAACATTGTGTCTCATCAGCATACAAGACGATGTGAAGGGTACAGGGTCACGTGGGAAAGACGCAGGAGCCAGTCTGAAGAGGCTCCCACTAGCCAAAGTTGGGATAATGTGAGCATCAGTAAGGATAACAACTGCAACAGGCTGAAACATGCCATGTGCTGAAACACATGAGTACAGAGCGACACTAAGACAGACGCATACACACGCCTCATTGGTCACCCTGGAGAACACTACAAAACCAACTCATTTTTTTGAAAACTGATAAAGAAAGAAAATGAATCAGGTGTTTAAAGCATTTATCCTGCCTTTCCTGTACAAACTGTACCTCAGAGCAGCCGAGTAAAGTACAATTTTTTTCTTTATAACAGTTTTCTAGCTAATTAATGAATAAAAATGATAGAATCAGAATATCACAACTTTGCAAACCCTAATGAAATAATGGAGCTAAGGAATAAACATCCATGGCTCCTAACATCACAAAAGGAGAGACACTGGACATTATGAGCCTACTGATGGAAGTACACACACCATGAAGTATCTTGGGTTGAAAAAACTAAACCTGATCAAGCTTCTAGATCTAATTGCCAGTCTACAGGAAATAAAAGGGACAGAAGAAAGCAGGTTAAATGGTAACATGGGGATGCCACCGGCAAAATCAAAAATGTGGGAAACTCAACAGGACAAATGACCCAGTTTTCTCAATGCAGAAATTGCAACTTAAGAGAGAAAGTGAATACATACATTGAAAGAAATTCAAAAGACATAATCAACTGCAACGTATGGCCTATATCCGGAATTCAATATGAACAAACCAACTACTGAAGGTCAATTTCTGAGACATCACGGAAATACGAACACCAGGTATTTGAAGTCTATTTGAGGATATTAAATAATTATTGTCATTTCTTTTTAGGCGTGATAATGTCGTGCTGTGATAATGTGTAGAGTTGTGTTTTTAAAGATAATGTTTCTTTTAGAGAGACAAACTAAACTATTTACAGATGAGGTGATAGGATGGCTCATTATGATGGGGGCCTAGAGACAAGGTTAGGCATGAGCTGGTAATTGTTGAACCTGGATAATGGGTATAGGGGGCTCATTGTACTATTCTCCCCACTTTCATATATTTTTGCCTTTTTTGCTAATAAAAAATTTCAGTTCTGGAATCTTTTCTCCAGGTTAGAATGATAACTGCTACTATCATTACTATGGTATCTGCGTCACTCTGCTTTCTTTCACAGGAGTTACAGTAAAGGTCAATCTGGTTACCTGGATTCTACCAGTACTTACTATGAGCAAGAGACCTGCCCCGACTGGAAACTAGACTCAGCCCTCATTACGACCACCAAGGCTTAAGAGAATAGACTGTAAAAATAACAAGGTGGTGGAGCTTGAGCCTGACTCTACAGCAAATCCAAGTAACACAGCCAGGAATCAATCATGACAGAGACAGGCCCAGAAAAAGAGATCAACAGTAGGGGAAAGATCGACACTGATCTTCTCCTGTCTCAGCCCCTATTCCTCCTAGTTGCTACCACTGAGGTCTAACTAACTATAACATAGACTCTATCCCTGTTCCTTCCATATCTTTAATGATAAAGGTCTCACGCTTCCCAGCCCACACCCAAAGCTGTCATCTTCACCAAGATGTTCACCTGCTCTGACCTCTGGCAGCCAGCCTCTTACTGCCTCTGTAGTGCTAATCTCCGGGCCTTGGAATCAACTACTCATCTACCTGGCTCCTCCATTAGATTGTAATCTCTTTGAACCAAAGACTATCTTTGGAGGAAAGACAGCACAGAGGGTGGTTTAGAGTATAAACTCTGGAGCTAGACTGCCTGGGTGCCAATCCTCCATTTACTAGCTTCATTTCTTGGACAAGTTAGTGTGTCGAAATTGCTTTATCTATAAAATACAAATAACGACTGTACTTATCTCATAAATTGTTAGGAATACTGAATGTGATGTGTATGGTTTAGAATCATTCCTGGCATGTAGTAAGAGCTTAATGAAAGCTGGCTAACATTATTATATTGTGTAGTGTTACTGATATTAACGTCAATATTAATCTTGGTATAGCCAGGGTTTAGTACAGTGATTGATAATACACATTCAATAAATATTGGTGGAAGGGATAAATCATTACCATCAACATATCCTATATCCATCTATTCTGCTGTTTAAGTTACCTACCTATGCTTCATCCAGCAATATACCTAATGTTTCAGAAAATGCCGTATCAAGGTGGCTCTCTGAAATCAGAGGACTGCCTTGAATTTTATTATGAAACTCATTCAAGTACATGCACTACAGAGTGTAGACAATGGCCAACTGATACTTTAATCCAAAAATCTATCATAAAGCTGAGGAAATTATGACACATGGCTGGAGATCCCTCACCCATGACCTAGACAGCGTCGTCCCCTTTCTTCTTACTCACAGTAGCCACGGAAGGAATTCCAGGCATTGGGCAGGTACGTGTGCTGCACGGAGGAGTTCTGCTGCTGCTGCGGTTGCAGAGCCTGCCCTTGTGTGGAAGCGCTGCCTTGCATGTGGGAGGGGCTGAGGCCCTGCTGGGACTGCTGGGCAGAGGGGCTCAAGGGCTGCCCAGCTACCTGGGGAGAAAGAGAAAGCAAGAGCAGAGAATTGCGACATTCCAATATAGTTAAGACTCGCAAACAAATGAAGGAACTAAATCAGACTAGTATGAACGATAACACTGAAAGTATCACTGCTATTATTAAAATAACATTTTAAATAAGAATAGATTAATGAAATGTTTAGAGTTCATAGTTATGAACTCTAATTTATTTTCAAAGGACTATCTATAAAAGTATCCAAAAATTAATTTTAATTATAAACTTGTTAGAGAAATGAATGAAAGTATAATTACCTACATTATATAAGGTTAAAAAAATTGAGAGGTGAAATAACGTGTCTATGTTACAAAGCTAACTCCTTACAGGTTGAGGCCCATGCTCCCCAGCCTGCCATGCAAGGCCCTCCGTAGTCCGGCTCCAAACTGCCTTTCCAACTTTCTTCCCAAACATCATTTCCCGTTAGTAATCTAAACAGAGGAACTCAGTTTTCTATAAACATACCACGATTTCCCATCTGTGTCTTTACTTACAGTGAGCTTACTCAGATCACAATGCCTTCCCTGAATCGTACCCCTCCTTCGAGACCTAATTCAAAGACTACTACTTCTACAAAAATCCCCTGATAAACATCATCTCTCCCTCTCCGAACTCCCATGACTTGTCTACATATTTCAATAACAGACTCAATCATACAAACACAGTAATATAATACAACAATACTCCACAAAGCCACTGTTCCAAATCAGAGAAGCAACTTAGCAATTGCATTCAGAATGGGAAGCAAAAGCCAGTGTTATTTCTAGGATATCATAATCACAGGGCTCTATCTAGACAGGCAAAGCTAATAACCTAACGTAAATGTGTCTACAATACCAATATAAAAACTGGAGGCAAAGGTAAGACTCTTTAATTAAGGTCCAAAAATAATGATATCTTAATAGTCGAGGAGACTAGGTTTGAAGGTAATGTCTTGACTCTTACTAACTCTCACAGTCCCTGAGGCCATATTAACGTCTCTGAACAGTCCATGGAGAAGTGTACCTGGGATGATGGCGGGGTGGAGGCAGGGGGCTCGCTGACCTGGATGTGCTGCACTTGGATGGCATGCTGGGCATAGGCCTGAGGGTCGTGGAGCTGGCCGACATCCACAGTGGACTGCTGGGACTGGTGTGGGGAAGTGGCCTGGAGGGAGGAAAAACAGGCCCAGAAACCATACACATGGATTGAGGTTAAGCAAAATTCTTCCAGAGGAAAAGTTCAGTTAAAAACAATGTCCTGGCTGGGTGCGGTGGCTCACGCCTATAATCCTAGCACTCTGGGAGGCCGAGGCGGGTGGATTGCTTGAGCTCAGGCATTTGAAACCAGCCTGAGCAAGAG